AGGAAGCTGGGGACACCAGGAACCGGGACATCTACTGAGGAAGCCCACAGGCAGTGAGTGGAGCTTGCCCAAGAGAGTCCCTGAGGGCTGCAGCCACCAATGCTGAAGGAGTAGGGCTGCCCAAGCCTTCTGACATTCACATCTTGCCACCGCTTGCCCTGGGTGCTGGAGCAATGAGATTTGATATTTGCCCTTTCGGGTTTCAGTCTTGCTTTGCTCCAATTTTTTTTTTCTATCCACCTATTGCTCCCTTTTGGAATGGGAATGTTTATCTTGGGCCACTGCATGTTGGAAGTGTTTCCAGCTTTCTTTCTTATTTTCACAGGGGCTTACAGCAAAGAGTTTGCCTTGAATCACATAGGGTAATTTGGATTTGGACTTTTTACCAGTGCTGGAACTGTTAAAATTTTGGCAACTGTTAGGGATGGACTAAATGTATTCTTCACAAGGAGATATACATTAGTCTTTTGGGGGCTGAGGGAGGAAAGTTATGGTTTAGATCAAGTATATCCCCCTAAGCTTATATTCTCAGAAGCAGGGCTTCTGGAAAGTGATGGGCCATGGGGCAGTATATTCATCAGTGGATTCACCTAGTAATGAATTCAGTACCAGAATGTGTCATGAGGGGGCGGGGCCTGGTAGAAAGAAGCAGTTCGTGAGGGTGTGACCCGGAAGGGTGATCTCCCTCTGCAGCTCTTCCCTTCACTCTCTCCTTGCTTCCCGGCCACATGAGCAGTTCTCTTCGTCCAGACCCTGCCACCATGACCTTCCTGCCTTGGAGCCAGGATAAACCTCTCCTCCTTCCATTTGTGAGTGTCAGGTACTGTGTCTCAGTGACAAGGAAAGTGACTAAGACACTTCCATTAAACAAATATGTATGCTTTGGTTTTGTGATGTGCCTTTTGTTACCTAATGAACCCAAGACAGGTAAAAGGAAAAGATAAGTTTCCTCCCCCACATTACTTAATAAATATTAATAATCAATATCATAGATTAATTCAATCAACATTGATCTCATATCAACAAAGCCCTTTGGTAAATAAAGTGGAGAATATAAATATATCTACTACTACGCTCTGTTGATGAGACCTATGACTTGTCCTTAAGTAATATTAATAAAATAACAATAACAAGCAGCATATCCCTTCTACACCCCAGAGATTCAAAAACCAAAAAGTCAACGATCTTTGCCTCCCTAGAAAGTATGTTATTGGAAGGGCCCAGCAATAAATAATTAAGTATCTAATTTAAGGTTCTGATAAGACCAGCAAAGGAGGAATGTACAGTGTGGGGAGAGCAAAGACAGGGAATTGAAAGTGGAGTATCTGGACATGAAGGTGATGTATGGAGACAATGCCCCCTGAAAGACCAAGCAGGAGGCAGAAGGCAGAAACAGGAGAGAAAAGGGGAGGCAGCTGAGCCAGGAGGGGATCTCCAGCAAAGTTGTGCAGAGAGTAGCTTTGCCTGGCCTCACAGAGGTCACAGGGATGCAGGTAACACCTCAGTGTCGCCCTGAGCCGTGGCCAATGAGCCAGACTCACGCACCCATGCCTATCTTGCCAAGAACCCTTTAGGAGACCCAGACCCAAGTACTGCTGGCATTCCTTGGCATAGTTTGAGTGAACGAGAGGAATTTCCCTTCACAGAGGGGCAGGGATCAGATACAGATGTCCACAAAGCCAGCCAGGGGCACTCAGAACAGCCAGAGGGATCCTAGGGGATGCGGATGGCACCAGAGCTCCAGTGGTGTCCATGACACCTGTGATCGTGGCCTCTGATAAGGACAAATACCAAGAAAGGAGGTAACATTTTAGCTGAGTAGGAGTTGCTGGGCAAAGAGCAGGAGTCACTGGGAGATGATCACAATTCATGCGAGTGGCCAAGAATAGGGGATCCTGAGGGACTCTGGCCTCTTATGCGCTATCGACAGCCCAACATCTCTGCAGAAGCTGTTAGCCTCTGCGCCCGCTTGCTGGTTAACGGCTGCCCCAGGTGACATGCACAGTGACAGAAGGGCTCTTACCAGAAGCTCTTGCCAACCTGAGCTGAGTGACTCAGACTTTCGGTGGCCAGCTTTGTTGCTCATCACCAAGGCTCTCTGCACAGAGCACTTGTGCACCAGACCATGACCGGAGGGTCAAGAAGCCTTCCCCAACTCTGAAAGCTTAATGCCATTGGCCACGTTGGCCTGGTGCAGAAATTTAGGAAGACCACACTCCCGAGTGTGTCCCTACCACCTCCCAAAAAAATGAGATCCAAGGGAGAAAGAAATTCAATCTTTATCCATCTAGACATCTCAGTGAGGGATAAGCAGAAAAGGTACAGATTGATCAAATAATTAATCAGACTACTCACGGAAAGATCTAGGCAGTCTACTGATGTCATCTGCAATGATGACATATCTCTCTCTCTCTCTCTCCCTCCTTCCACCATCGCTTCTCCCTCCTCTTTGCCTCATTCCCAAGCACCCTGTTTCCACACAGAGGCTCTCCAGAACACACACCTGCATCTGCAGGTTGATGGCCCAGAGACAGAAGAGCTTCCCTTGGCTGACACTGTCGTCATGTTAGGCTCCAGCAGGGGAGACTTGACCATCCCTGAGCCAGCTGTTGCTGCCAGGAAATGTGGCGTCATTGTGGGTGAGGCCAGAGTTGGAGGGGTCGACCTGCCCAGAACCACAGGAGCGAGTGGTTCCCAAGGGAAGTGGGCAGCACCATGTATAACGTCACTGCATCCTCACACCTGCTCTGAACAAAGATGGCGCGGTAACCCATGGCACAGGTGTGGCAGTTCCACTGCCACGGCAGCAGGCAGTGGCAGGGCAGTTAGAGCCAATGCCCTAATCCTCTCCCAGCTCTGCACCTGTCCCTGGGCACTTATGCTTTGGTTTATTCACCTACAAAGCCAGAAAGTTTTGTTGTGAGGATCCAAGGAGTTAATGCATACAAAGGTCCCGAAGTTGTGCCTGGGATGCATGGAGAACGTGATGAATGTCAGCTGAACCAAGCCATTCATCTGCAGGAGGAGAAACTGAGCTCCAGGAAGGGAACCTGACTTTTTCCAGATGGCACAGCAAATACAGGACCCTTGCAAAGATTTCTGCCCACTCTAAGTGTCATGAGCCCCCGCAGTTTGGGTACACACCCTAAAAGTCAGGACCTGCTGGTGCTGTCCATGTTATAAGCCAGCCTCCCCTTGTGGTCTAGAGTGTATCCTTCCTCGGTTAGGGTGCACTGGGAGCCACCCTCCTTCCCTGACTGCAAAAGGGCAATGCACCCACAGTTTCAAGGCTCCCTTGCGCCCCACTCTGGCTTTCTGGCCGCCTCCTCCTCTCTTTCTCAGACTCCCTGGAAACCTATCAGCCCCACAGTGTTTATGACCTGATCCTTCCGTTTATGAGTTAGCTATGAAAAAAAGAGGCGCTGTGTGCTCCTTTCAGGCAGCACAAGAGGCACAGAGAAGAAAAGGTTATGGCTGTGTTTACTTTACTTAGTGCTGTTGGCTCCTTCACAATTGGTGCTCAACAGCAATCCAATACTATATTATTAACCAAAGAGCTTTTTCACATAAACACCAAACAGCCACGATAATGACACAGGCCTAGGTAGAGAGGCAAGGAGAAATGCTAATTTAAAATTAAATTGGCATTTCCCTGCATGTCTAGGAGAAGGAGAAAAGGATAATGGGAGTAAGTGATAATAATTACAGTGGATGACTCCATGATAGGGAGGAGAACTGGATCCCTTCCACCTTCACAGTGAGGTTAAAGGAAGGAAGCTGCGATTGTGGTAAGAATTAGCATTCCCTGCGCACTCACTAGATGCCAGACATAAAGCATTTTTTCATTCAATATGCACCACAATGCTATATTGACATGGTCATTTCTAGGATCTCCACTTTTATGACTTGTTTTTATGTGTCCTCTCAAAGCCTCATGTAGTCATAGGTGGGGAGTCTCCAAGGTGGCTGGATTATGGTGTGCAAGTGTGGATTAAGGGTGTGGTGCTGGGATGAATGGTGGCTCACCGTGAGTGTGGGTGGCACTACTCAAAGGGCATGTAGCCTGGAAGGAATAAAAGGGAGAGGCAGGTCTTCTGCTTGCTGCATTCTGCCTGTCCTGCTTTGCCATGGGCTGTTTCTCCTCTGCCACACTAGCCTGCTTCGGAGCCAGCCAACTATGGCCTGAAACTTCTACAAATCATAAGCTAAAATAAACTTTTCCTCCTTTAACTTATAAAATTGGGCAATTTTTTCTCAGCAAAGAGAAAAGCAGCTAATATGTCACTTTATAGACTACGATATGAGGCTGAAAAAGGTCAAGTAATTGGGACAAAGTCATACTGGGTGAAAATGAAGAGGCCAGGATTTGAAACCAGGCAATCTGACCTCAATCCCACAAATGTAAAGTTCAGGCTAAATTACCTCCTGGATTTGTGCATGGGGACACAACACTTGTCAGGTGCAGAAGTTCTTTTAGAGCCAATCAGTTACACATCCTACAAATATTTACCAACTATCATTTGCAAACCACAATGGGACAGAAGCCATGGAACCACCTGGGACCTTTTCTTGCTCCTTAGAAGAACTGCTAATGCTTCTCTTGCTGGAGAAAGACCAGGATTTTTTGAAGGAAGCACTGACACAGGTCCTCTTCTGGATGCAGCACTTCCTTTTGGTTTACTGAGACCCAGTCAAACTCAGAGATCTGATAGCTCCATGGTGAAACCATTGAGACCTCCCTTGGCAATACAAACTACTTAGGAAGCTGAGGCAGGAAGATCAAAAGCTGAAGGCCAGCCAGTAAATTTAGGGAAAACTTGTCTCAAATTAAAATTTTAAAGGAGCTGGAGATGTAACTCAGCACCCCCTGGGCTTGATCCCCAGTATTACAAAAGAAAGCATCTCCCGTTCTCATGTGCCAGGTGCCTCCTTGACAACACCACAACCCCTCTAAGCATTTTTTCCTCTTAGTGTAAAATGGAGAAAATAATCACGTCTACCATGCGGTGTTCTTGTAGGGATTAAACAGTGATCTTTATCATTCAGCTACAGTTCTGCAGCTGCCTGCAGGAGTTAGGCTGTAGACCGCTATCCCGCTGCTCTAAACTGTCAGCACAGGTCTTCCATCACCAATACTCCTGGCCTGAAGAATCGTGCAGTCACCCAGAGAATCTTTCTCACTGCAGCCTGCGCCGCCTGGTGGAACCGGAAACCATCTGCAGCCACCACGCGCAAGGCTCTGCACAGCATCGACACGTGACAGCCGCAATCATCCCGAAATCCAAACCGCTTTCCCTGTGAGAAGTGTGAACAAGAACGTGATTAGTAGACATGTGACAGAACTGACTTTCTCACGACTAAAAACTCTTCTTACCGAAGGGCTGAGCCCCCTAGTGGTCACTTCTGACTACCTAAATTCTCCATTAAATACAGTAGTCGCACAAACCCTGCCTGCAGCAATTACAGGCAATATTTTTATCACCAAACTGAGCACTCCATGGATGCGAGCCCGCACTACCCTCGGCTCATGATCATGAGGTCGTCACAGTCGTCATTTCCAAGCTCACAAAGCGCCATGCACTTTCCCCCAAATCAGGCTTCCTGGAGCTGGTAACAGAACGGGACTTCGCACTGAGTCTTCTGGCTACAGATCCCAGGACCACGGCCATTCTGCTGGAGGTCACCAACTGTGTTTGCTGGGCTTCCAGAACCTCCTGTCCTCACACCCAGGAGCAGAGGCTCTGCCTCTCTCCCTGCTGCGAGCAGCACAGCCTGCCCTTTCTTGGTACCCAAGGCCAGCACTTTCTTCTGAGATTGCTGTTTATCTCTTAAATCGGAAAGACAGAACCTTCTCCAATCAGGGAGGAAAGATGACCCTTTAAATATGCTGGCACACACAACAAGAAGGTTCAGGGCCTAGGATAATTTAGTCAGAGAAGGATCCAGGCCCAGAGGGTCCCTGTGGCATCCACCCCCGACCCAGCTTTCCCAAGCACTGGCTTTATTCCCTTCCCTATGGAAGATGGCTACCAACAGGTCCAGGCCAAGCTCTTGCAATTTAGAATCTCAGTTGAAATTGACTTCCTTTGTTCTCTAATCCCAGCAAAGATTTCAGATTGTGCACCACTGGTCCATTTAAGGAGTCACATGATAACCTCTGAACCAATTATGTCCTGTGACCAGGAAGTCCAGGCATTTGATTAGACAAGCTTGGAGCATATGAGTGGTCCAGATGGCCAAGCCCTACCCGATGGGCCTAGAGGCCTGGCCTGAAAATCCTACATGGCAAGGAAGAGCCATGAGGCTACTATTGCTTTTCACTCTCACAACCAAAAAGCTCATCACATCAGAGCCTCTATCCTCCAGCCCATTTCTCCTGACCTTTTTCTGTACCTGCAGAGCAGCACAGCACAATGAGGACTTTTTATAACCATTAAGATGGTTTAAGGGAGGAATGAAGGGGCGAGAAATAATTTTATTTCTTTTTGCAAAGTTTTGCAGCAGCCTCAGAGGTCTCGGGTTTATGGGTACACATTAAAGAGTCTTTTCATCAGGGCTTTTTTATGTGAGGAAGCCGTTTAAGCAAGGAGGCACTTGGCTGCTTCTTCTAAATGAAAATTTTCAATTAGTCTGAAGAAGTTAATTACACCATCCTTTAATAACTGCACTTGTGACTCTGCAAATCCTCTATTAATTGATTCAACCATATGCCCCCAAACCAGCCAACAGGTAGGAAAAAACGGAGAAGGAAGACACAGGGAAGGAAAAGATGAAGATAAAGAAATGCATGGTGGCTGCTGGGCTGGTAGGGTACGGCAGACGAGTATGGGAAAGTCATTGAAAAGTGTGGGTGGTGAGATTTGGGAGATTCATTCTCCAGCTCCAAGAGGCTTCACAGGCTGATTTGCCACATCTCAAAATGACAGCAGTTCAATGGCACTTGCTCCTACATCCCCTAGATCCACATCCCCTATCCCCAGGGTAGTTTGGAAAGATGCTACAAATACTAGTAGTTGTCTGTGTTTTCGAGCATTCCTTAAAGGGCAAGTCAAAAGCCAGGAGATCCTAGTTCCAGCTCAGATGAAAGTGACTGCCCTTCCCTCCGGGCACTCACAGCATCAGTGCATTTACGGCTTGGATCTGGGCGGTCCTCAACAGGCCCAAGTGTTCAAGGCTTGGTCCTCAGCACATGGTGCCACTGGGAGGCAGGGGACACCTCAGGAGGTAACATCTGGTTGGAGGAAGAAAATCACTGGGAAGGGTGTCCCTGAGGAACACACTGGGATCCTGACCTTTTACTCCTCTTCCTTGTTGCTTTCTAAGCACTGTGAAGTACTCTGGCACAAGCTTCTGCTGTGTGCTTTCCCTCCACGCTCCAAAGCTACCAGCCAAGGGACCATAGACTGAAAATTTGGAAGTCTTAAGCCAAAATCCATCCTTCCTCTTCTCAGTTGATCTGCCTCATGTATTTTGCCATGGCAATGGAAATCTAACACAGTGCACACAATACAGGCATCATATCAGCCTGGGTTCAGATCCTGGCTCTGCTACTGCCTGGCCATGTGATTCTAGGCATTCCACTCTTGAGTTTCAATTTCTTCATCTATCAAATGAGGAAATAAGTGCACCAGAGGCCTTATGAAAGGCACGTGAGCTAATGCATTGGTTCCAGAATATGGGATAAAGTCAGTAGACACTCAGGATTGCATTCGTCAGCTGTTGTGTGACCGATCTTGCATAACAAACCACTGCAAAGCTCAGAGATGCCAAGAGCAAGCACCATCTTCCTCATCTGCAGGGCAGAAGGAGTTCAGCTGGGCTCAGTTCAGGATGCAACCTGGGTCAGGTCCACTCCAGGTCTTTTATTCTTGTTGGACCGGAAGCTTCTAAAGCATGCTGTGGAACAGGGGGAAAGGAAATAGCTGGATGGGACAGCTCTTATCTCAGAAGCACATTGCACACTCTTGCACACATCTGCTTGCTTTCTATCGGCCAAAGCAAGTCACACAGCCAAACCCAAAGTTGGATGCAGGGAAATGTTCCTACAGAGGTGGGAGAGAGGGAGTTATAATTGCCAAATAGTTGTCTACTCAAGCACAAACATTGTAGCTATATTTTCTGAGTGCACAAGTGATTGCAAAGCAAGCTAGGGTATTATCAGTGTCACATGAGAGTGTTATGGGCTGAATCACATCCCCCAAAGCTCATCCTATTAGGACCCTAATCCCCTATATGGCTGTAGTCAGGGTCTTTAAAGAGGGATTTCAGGTTAAATGAGGGCACAAAGGTAGAGGTGACTGGAGTCCTTCAAATACAATGAAAAGACACCAAGAATCCATACACACAAAGAAAGGTGCCATGTGCACACATTGAAAAGCAGCCACACAAAGAGGCCTCTGGAGAAACCAACCTTGCTAATACCTTGATCTTGGACTTCCAACTTCCAGCATGATGAGAAAATCAACTTCTGTTGTCTAAGTCACTCTTCATGTGATATTTTTCATGGCGTCCCAAGCAAACCAACAGAGTGGGCGGGAAGACAACAGCCGAAGGAAGGAGAAACTGCTTAGAAGGAGAAGGAGCAAAACACTGTGCAGAAAACATTCTCTGGTGGTGACTCAGCGAAGAAAATGGGAGCCATGGGGACAATGGCGTCCTGGGTGTCGAAGATGACCTTGGCCGCTCTGTAAAGGAGGGACAGAGAGACAACAGCTACCTCTGTGCTAAACCGTGTATGTAGTTATTTCATGAGGGTCTCGCCTAACCTCAGAACAACCCTAAGAAGCAGTGCCCCAGCAACCCACATTTTCACCTCTCTAGAGGTTCAAGCTGAAGTGCAGAAAGCAAAGCTCCTGCCTGAGAAGGATACCAAAGTGCTACCACAGATCATCAGACAGGTAGTGAAAGAGGGAGACAGGAAGAGCAGTAGGACAGGGGAGGAGAGGGAGGGAGGACGGGGAGGCAGAGAAGGGGAGAAGCAGAGAGGGGCTGTTCCTTCCGTTCGTCTGACGTAATAAAAGGGCAGCTGATCACTACCTGGCACAGAGCAAGTGTCCGGCACCGTCCGAAACACATGTAACGTTCACCACTTCCTCATCCATTGGCCGAATCTGCCCAGTGACCCTGAGGTGGGTTTGCCAAGTGCCCCCATTCTGCAGATGAGAAAGCTGCCAAGCTGGAAGCGAATGGCCGAGTCCTCCTCGGGCCCTGGAGGCAGAGCTCAGGCCCGGACTCCGGCAGGTGCTGCGGAGTAACTGGGGCAGAGGTTCCTCTCGTGAAGAACTGCTTTGATCTGGGGCACGCACCTGCTGGCTCTTTCGGGGGTCCCCGCTCCACTTGCTCCTCATCCTGTTTCATTCGCCATCAGTAATTTGAAAGGGGTGCTGACTCGGAGACAGAACAGACTGGGCCGGTTCTCAGAGGCGTCTCCTTCCGGTTGGGCTCACGGGAGGCGGGACTCGGGGAGAGAAGTTCGCAGAAGGCCTGCAAGTCACGGGGCAGACAGGGCTCGGGGCGCAGCCCTGAGAGGAACCATACAAAGCGGGCCCTTTATTGGCTCCTCTCCAGTGTCACTGCGAGGGGTCCACACGCAGTTTACAACGGAAGGAGGCAGAATAGATGGGGAGTTAATCCGAGGGCATCTGGAGAAGACTCCTGGACAGCGGTTGGGGGGGTGGACCCTGCCAGGTGCAGGACACAGGAGGGATGATGAGTGTAAGGGGTGCTGACTCGGAGACAGAACAGACTGGGCCGGTTCTCAGAGGCGTCTCCTTCCGGTTGGGCTCACGGGAGGCGGGACTCGGGGAGAGAAGTTCGCAGAAGGCCTGCAAGTCACGGGGCAGACAGGGCTCGGGGCGCAGCCCTGAGAGGAACCATACAAAGCGGGCCCTTTATTGGCTCCTCTCCAGTGTCACTGCGAGGGGTCCACACGCAGTTTACAACGGAAGGAGGCAGAATAGATGGGGAGTTAATCCGAGGGCATCTGGAGAAGACTCCTGGACAGCGTTTGGGGGGGGTGGACCCTGCCAGGTGCAGGACACAGGAGGGTTATGATGAGTGGAGGAAGAACGCTCTGGAAGTTCTTGGCGAACCATAGGTTAAAAGCACACCGAGGCTCTGCTACAAAGCTGTTTCTTAATTTGATCTGAACAGTGCTTCTGGAATTCCATTTTTGTGCCTAGCCGGCGCCACCGAGGGACCTGGGGCTGACTTGGTTTATATTTCTACCTCCCGAGGCCCACCAGGAACTCGGCGTGACTGTCGTTAGGTGACCAGCAGGAGGCCAAGGACACGCGTGTGACTCCTGGGTGCCTGGCACCTCCCCACACTCCCACTCCCTGATTCCTCCTGGGCTCAGGAACTTCTGGAATGGTCAATAGAGGCTTTGTGTGAAGGAGGCCTGAGTTTCTAATTAACATAACGTAGTAAGTGGAGTCCCAAAATCAAGCCACACAAAACGTGGGCTGGAGGAATGGCGCAGGAATGGAGCGACCCCAGGGGCTTCCCCGATAGCCCAGCAGGACTTGCGCAGCCAGGTCTTGGTTTCAAAGTCAGGTTCCAGTTGTCATACAGCGCCACCTGGCGGCGGGGAGCCAGCCCTGCGTGGAAGCTTTCTGGAGACTTCTGGGCATGGAAATCCTAGGTTCTGCCAGGAATTTGGAGTCTCTGCTACCTGGCATGGACTCCCCGGCCTGAACCAGGAAGAAAGCCGGGCCCCTCCCTCAGTCTCCCTCCTTTCTAGCCTGGGGGAACTTGAGACCCAGTCTGTGGCAGCTTCTGACGTTGGCCTTACCCAGCCCCTCCACGCTTACTTCGTCCCCTGAAATGGTCAAATTCTTCCTTTGCGTTTTGTGCCTAGATTTGATCCTGGGACCTCTGCACTGAGCTGAATCCCCAGCCTTGTTTTTATTTTTTTATTTTGAGACAGGGTCTCACTAAATTTCTAAGTTGCTCAGGCTGGATTTGAACTTGCTGTTTTCCTGCCTCGGCCTCCCCGAGAGATGAGATTACAGGGCTGACCGGGCACATGCTCTTCCGCTGAACCTCTTTGGAGAATGAAGTAAGGGAAAAGGCGATCAGTAGCTGCATTATATCACCACGCATGATGGCCCATTTTCTCGGGGTTCCATTGTACTTTTGCATTTTTATATTTGGCATAGATTTCTTTTAGAATCCAAGTGAAAGAGTAATTGTTATTTTGAAAATTAAGAAGAAAAGAATACACACTAAGTCTCTTTTCCATTTTTCTCACTAATGTGGATTTGGTGGAGGGTCTTTTATAAAAATATCTTCCAACGTCATGAAACTGCACTCATGCTTCTTTTCAACAACAGCGCATGAGCTAATACATGTTTAAAGCCCTAGTCTTAGCTCAGTGGTTCGGCGGCCGGCCTCGCAAGCGCAAGGACCCAAGTTCAATCCCTGGTACCAAAAGAAACCAAAAAAACAAATAAACGTTTAAAGCCCTAGTCTTTTCTTCATCTCTGATTTCTCTTTTCAAATGTTTATCCTTCTGATTTCTCGGGTGGGCAGGGAATTAAAACTTCAACATCCCCATACTAAAGCACTGACCTTCATGAACAGGCCTCACACTTGATTCTCATTGAAATGACTGAGAAGACAAGGACGGAAAATGCCAAGTGTTCCAGGGCACTCGGAGCAGTGCAGCCCCCAGCAGTGACAGGGCCTGCGTGCCCGGACACAAACCACACTGAAAAGCTGTCCTGGACAGCCTCTCAGAGCACACGCTTCCCTGGGGCCCAGGAGCTTCACATACATTTCCAAAACAGGGGAGGCTACACCACCGCAAATGTGCTGGAATATTATACTGCAATGAAAAATCACCACTGCACTCACTAATATGGATGGATCTCGCAAACACAATGCTGAGAGAAAGATAAAACAGATGGGAGTGAGTGTTCTCTGTTTGCGTTTCTTAGAAGCAATATGCAAAGACAGGAGGGAAGCAGGAAAGTGGTGGTTTTAGTAGGCCTGGGTGGGGTGACTGCAAAGAGGCACGAAAGGAGCTGGCAGAAGGGTTGGGGCTGGGCTCACTCTGTTTCCTCATATCGCGGCTTGATATGTGGGTTTTCAGCACACAAAATATTAGCTGTTTACTTTTGGCCAGGCACCTTTATATGCATATCGTGGTCCAAAAAGTTTTTAAAATGGGTATCAACTCCTATGAAGAAGTAGGTTTTAGCAAAGATAATTTGCTCTGCCTGCCAGGCCCTTGCAGGTTGAAAAAGCAGACAGCAGGCGAAAAGCGAAAAAGCTCGGCACACGCCCACGCCCAAGCGGACCAACCCCGGATGCATCTGTGCTACCTACAGGTTTCCCGTCAAGACGAACGGTTGCTGTATCTAAGAGGCAGAAGGGTCTCAGTCTCAGGGTAGAACACTTTGAAAGTCCCAAGACCTGACTGAAAAGTGAATTTTCAGGACCCTTAAAAGGGGCCAGGAGAGGAGCACATTACAATTGGCCTTGATTTTGCTCTGCATTTAGCCCAATCGATGGGCGTGCTCGTAGAGTGACGTCATCTCTTGACCCTCTCCTGCCAAGCAACCTAAGAAGCAAGGTCAGGCTGTAAAATTATCCACTGACTCTGGCTTCCGGGAGTCTCTGCTCTCTAAGCAGGTCAATAGTGCCACCCAGTGGACGCTGTGGAGAATAAACCATCTTGGGCAGCCTGCTCATGAAATCTGCATTGGAAGTCATTTTAAATAGTTTAGGAGGTAAGTTTCTAAAAAAAAAAAAAACGCTGATGGAGGTTGCCCGCTTAAAAATGAGTAAATGATTATACACACCAAAAAAATCAAGCGAATAAAAGACTCAAATGGGAAATATACAAATGCAAGAATGCACTAAATATTGATCGTCATCTGAGAAAAGGAAAAAACAGCAAGTAAATATTGGTCCCACCCACCTGAAGGGAGCCATCACTACCACTTAATAATGTCTAGAGCTAGCAGAAACGAAGGAAGACTCAGGACTCCCATTTCTTAGGTAAGCACGGGTGACGAGTTTGTCCCGTAATTTGGAGGGCAACTTGACATCATCTTTTAAAAACATTGCTTGCAATACGCATAAAACGATAATTCTGATTTTCAGAATCAGTTTCACTTGTGAACAAGGGTGTGGGTCACACTCTTGTCTCACCGCAAAAACAAATCGTGGGTAACAGGGTTATGTCCAGAGAACAAATGAGCAGGCAGGAGTGGCCCAAGTTGAGACAAGCCAAGGGTCAAAAACAGCAGTGCCTGCGACTCACTGAAGGTAGCAAATATATAAAATGTATGAGTTTGTGTTGACACACAGGAAGGAACCCAACAAACATCACCTAAATTCACCTGCCGCCACTGGAGATAACTGGAATATTATCTCCTTGCTCTAAAAATGTGTAATTAATGGGAGAAATTAGCATTTACCCTACGTTTCTAGCAAAAACAGCATTCTGGGGCTATATTATGTTCTATAACTCCAGTAGACACAGGAAACTCTTTTTAGCCTTCCCGACGTGTTACATTTATAGCTAGCTGTCTCCCAAAAGCCTCAGGCGCTCGTAGGCAGGCTTTGGGAAGGTGCATTGTGGGCCTTACAGGAGGCATCCGAAAGACAGGTCATAGGGCTGTGACCCGGAAGGGTTTCTCTTGCTTCCCAGCTCCTCCCTTGAATTTCTACTTCCGGGTCACTGTGCCATCAGCCTCTTTCTTCTGTGGACCCTCCCGCCCTGCCACTTCTAGCTGGAGCCAGCCGACCATGCAAGGCCTGTGACCTCTAAATCGCGGGCCACACTCAGCCTCTCCTTTTTGGATGTGCCGGTGTCAGGTACTGAGCCCCGGGGCGAGGAGAGTGACTGAGATGCTGGGGGCGTAATGTGAAATGATGACTTCGCTCTCCATCCCACCAGAAGAGCTAGGATGGAAAGTCGATCCTCCAGCACTGACGGGGTGGAGTGACAAATGCTCTT